TAGATAGATAGATAGATAGATAGATAGATAGATAGATAGATAGATAGATAGATAGGTAGATAGATAGATCGATAGATAGATGCACAGCAAGGAAATTAAATCAATAAATGAAATTATTGGTCAAGGGAGAGCACCACACTTTTGACAACTGGATATTGAAAAATAAATTGTTATGTCCCTTGCCATTTAGAGACGTCAAGTTTGCTGACAAAATGAGTCAAATCAACTTCTTGGGTTTCGGTTTTAGTTTTTAGTTTTAGTAAGGTTTAAGGCGCTTGGAACTGCATAAGGTCATATATAGCACCAAGGGGTGGATGTCAACAGAGAAGTCCAAACAGGGAGTTAGACTTTCTCTGCTCACCTCTTTAGACTCAACAGCACAAAGTCTGCTTCGACTATCAAGGCACCCCGGAAATAGCAGTTCACAAGAAAGTGACCAACATACAAAAGAAGCTGAGGAAAAATGACGATAGGAAGGATGGGAAAAGAAAAAGCAGCAGTTTCCCTTATGCTGCTCTGGCACAGTATGAGCATGACTTTGATAAATCAGCACATTTACAACACTACTGTGCATAAGAACATGCTAATACCCCCCCCCCCCAACCCTCCCCTTTTGGGAATGGCCTAAAGACACTTCAGTCTGTAGCACTGCCCAAGTTCAGTTTAAACCCTTTTGAGCGAAGACACTACACATGTATCTGTTTGAATTTGTATAATTGTTTTACATGAAAATATGATTCAAGAAATAATATTCATAAATTTAAGTGCCTAAGATTAGAGTTTAATTTTAATAGAGGTTTTACGGTGCGCGCAACTGCATAAGGTCATTTGAGCGTCATAAGATTAGAGCTGTTACAAGAGATTAACAAACATAAAAGAAGGAAGGAAGGTAAAGACGATAGATTTTTTTAAGGAAAGAAGGAGCAAACCACACAAGAGCACCTGCTAAACACCCACAAACTAACTTTTGAACACTTGAAATTTCTGAAATGTTCATGACCGAAAAACAGTGAGCAAACAGGTAGGCATACAGAAAGAGGGGGAAAATGAGCTTTCTCTTGTTCTTCTAAAATACTGAACATGACGACATGAATACGAGTCACACAGTAAGTCATGTTTAGTAGTATGGGGTTTTACGGTGCTCGCAACCGCATAAGGTCATATGAGAGCTCACAGTAAGTCATCCCATTTTTGTACTCAATATAATATTCTTAACAAAACACTTAAACACACACACACAAAACCCACACAAATATACATACACAGACAACCCCCCC